GCTGAGATTGATGGAGTCTCTGTCTAATTCAGCCTCAATTAAAAGACTGTTGCCAGAATAAAGAAGTATGAGAGTGACATGAAACAGAAAAAATATATATAACAGAGGAAGCGATGAGGAATTGTCCAGATTTCTGAGAGAGGACGTGCCCTAAGGGAAAGGAATTAAATTGACATTTCTGAAATTTTTCTTGTGGTTACCATGCTATTTAACAGTTTGAAACTAACCCTAGAGAATACAATTCAAGAGGTCATAAGCAATGTGATTCCATTTTAAGGTTAATAAATATAGAGTAAATACAAAAGACAGAACTACCCTATCACTTGTATCATGTAGCTACTACCTGAGCATCAGAATTACTTTTAAAAGGGGAGAGTGGAAGAACCTTGTGCTGCCATGAAATACTATATGCATTTAAATATACTATGTGCATTTAAATATAGGTTGCTAGTCTCTGGGAATGCTGATCTGGCAGCTTTTACAGCACTACGTTTACTTAAAAATTAAATGTTATCTTTTAGGATGGAAAGCTGCCAAGACAAACTGGCTGGCACATCAAAATGGCAGTTTCATTTTGCATTAATCACACCCAGTGAGTAGCATGGGAACAAGGGCAGGTTGTCTCCATGTGCTGGGAATGGATCTGCTTGAGTTTAGAGACCGTCCAGACAAGTAGAAAAACTGCTAAAGGGTGAAGGCAAATCCTTTTGTGTAGCAAAAGGGGATTATAGGGATTAGTGTCACACATTTGGAATATGAAAATGTATTTGTTTTATATTATTACAGGCATTCTTGTGGATTAATTGTGTTGTGAAGGGCTGTTGTTGTTTGCTTGTTTTTGTAAAATTCCAGTAGAAAAATGTGGTTTTGTTTAGTAAAGGATGGATCAAGTTGTGACAATTGTTACACCTCTGCCACATGTTGACTTTGCCCACATTGCCCGTGTCCACATGAGTGTGGACATTTGTTTCCCTGGGAACAAGAAGCAGCAGCACACCTTGTGCCACTGCTACTTGTCCCCAGGGAATGTCTGTGCCACATGCCCTCTGGTGTGCAGCAGGTTCCCCCAGGTGGGGTAGGAGAGGCTGGAGCCAGCACTGTGCTGGCCCCAGCAGCCTTACCTGGGGTGCTGAGGGCCTCTTGGGGCTGCAGCGGTGGAGATCCTGCTGCTCGGAGCCTGCCCGGCAGCCGGAGTGTGGCTCCAGCTTCCAGGCTCCAGTTTCGGGTGGCACGCACTGCCCCTGCATGCACCACTCTGCTTTTATTTTGCACAGTTTTTTTTTTACCCTGGGATCTCCCAGGTTCAAAGAAGAATAGCTGAATGTCTGCGGTGCCACATACTGCACAGCAGCGCTTGTCTAGACGTGGCCACTGACTTCACTAGGTTTGCACAGAGTCAGTGAGGTCAAAGTTGGGCTCATAATGAGAATGCTGCTGTTAGGGATGTCTAGACCCAAGATTTTGGCTAACCTACAGCCTGTGCAGCCCCACTCAGGACAATAAATATGAGTGAGAGTCAGTGCAGCATTTTTGTCTCAGCATGCTGCTATGGCATGTATATGGGGAGGAAATAAGCCTTGCAGTATCTAGTGATTCTTAATCAAATACTTTGTGATAGAGTGTGACCCTCTCTCCCCTCAAGGAAAAAAACCATGGAGCATCCAGAAGGAAATGGGTTAATCTTCTCAGAACCTCCCAAATCAGGTCATAATCATTAAAGTGTCTGCCTTATAATTAGAAAGTTCTGAGCTAAAATTCTCTTGAGATTTTGTCTTCATTATGCATTATCTTCCTGTCTCTTCTCTCATTTGGATATGGATGCCTATATTTTCACCACTTAATTATCTTTATCATCTCCCCCTGCCCTATGCACTGGAATAACCCATTTCAATTACATCTTGTGTAGCATAAGAAAAACCTGATCCATTACATCAGAAATTCTGAAGGCTCACAGTTCTTAATTTGACTTTAGAAAAGTGCTTTGTTTGAACCTTAAAATTTTTACATGAACTAGAAGCACATTTCCTCTTTACTACCACTTTAAATGGGCATTCAGCTACATTCAGAAGAAAGCCAGGAAAGCCAACCTTGCAGGGCAGCAAGCATGCACATTCTAGCTCTAGCTAACATATAGTAATTAATAAATTGGTATAAAACAAATAACGACAAACAATAAGAAAGGACTATCTGCTTTCAGAAATACCATACCATGTTGTTCAATAGTATGTTATCTTACATTATGTTCTTCGTATAACAGCATGAATTCCACCCCAAGAAACAATGAGACCTAGATTTCAACTTCATAAACATATGCTTTTGTTTTTTAAAACAAACTGCTTTTCTGCCCTTCAAAACAGCATGATCAGCCTGAAACAGCATGATTGTTTGCCATATGAATCTAAAAGAAGAACTCTGAATGTTTGAGAAAGTGATACATCTCCATTAGTTTGATAGGCAACTCCACATTTAAAAACATCACATTCAGTGCAATTACTGATCTCAAATCAGGGGAAGTGGCCAGTCAGTTGGATTGTTTTACATTCAATGATGTTTAAGACTAAAATAATATTTTACATTTAATTTCAATGGAAACTAATTTTAAATTGGGTTGCATTTGATGGTTCCCATGACAGCTAGTATTTCACAGGCTGTCCTTCTAAAAACATTAATATGAACTAATAATAGTCAACTCCCTTTCAAAACCTGATCTTATTCTGTTCCCACCCTAAAATAGCACTTACTTTTAAAGATTCTTTCATTTAGGTTTGAACTACAATCCACTGAATTCAATGGAAAGAATCTATTTAATAGACTTCAGCAGAGTTTGGATCAAAAGTAATGTAAATGGAGTATGGGATGCAGTTAACAAGAACAACATTCTTAAACATGCCATTCAATATAACTTGAAGTGGCTATAATTATATTATTCTTTAATGATGAAATACCTATAGTAATGTGCATGGTTTTTCAGGTTTACCTGCTTGTGAGCATGGTCATACGAATTGATGTGGTTGTCAAATTCCTGGTGTTTAAGATACTGTTTATCACATAATTCACAATAGAAGTTAGCCTTCACATCCTCCAGAGCCTTTGCTGCAGCCTTCTCTTTCTCTGCATAATCCTACAAAGGCAAAGGTAAAGGTAGCATTTTGTTACAAATAGCAGAGAAGATTCCAGATCTGCCACTTAATTAGGTATGTGTTAAATTATGCAATAAGCAGCATTTTAAATGGTAAACATTTTAAATAGAAAAGAGCAGAACTTAAAAACTCTGTCAAACAAACCAGACCAAACTGATGATTCACTGAAATCCACAGTGGTGTGAACGTATACCTGGGGCAAGTAAGTCTTTGACTCACAATATTCTTTCAAAGATTAAAGAAACATTTGTTCTCAAGAATAATTATGCATTTGAGTTTGACCCAAGTCCTCTACTGAAGTGCAAATACTAAGAACCAAAGAAAGCATAGTATTATCAAGTGTATGACTTAAAATGGTTGATTGAGGGAGCTTAACAGTGGAAGGCATGCAAGTGAAAGTGTGGACACAGGGAAGGGTGTGGCAGTGTGGATGCGCCCCCTGTTCTGCTCCAGTCTGGGCGATGACTGTGTGGGGTGTCAGGCTCAGCAGGGGACAGCAGTTGCAGTGAACAGGTTCCCCCTTCTAGCACCTGCTCTCTAGCTGTGCTGCCTCCCCCAACAGCTGCTTCCCTACTGGCTCCAGGCAGGTGTTGGAAGGAGGAACCTGTATGCTGCCACCATTTTTCATAGATGATACCGGCACAGGGAGAGCTCTGGAGCCATTCCTACCCCATATTGCAGAAAGCAGCTATACAGGGAGCCTGGCTTGGCCAGGGACAATGGCAGTGGTGCAGTTTCCTCCTTCCAGTACCTGCTTCTGGGCAGCAGGGGACACCGGGGTTTGGATGGGGAGGTGGGGGGAGTGGGCAGGGAGTAGGCACAGAAAGGAAGAAAGTGTGTGCCACCACCACTATCGATGGAGGATGTGTGCTCCTCATGCAACTGCTCCCCGTAGCTTCTAGCTGGAGTGGGGCCAGAGGTGCTCTGGGGCCCTTCCCCCACCCCCAGATCAGCCAAAAACAGCAACAGTGGTGTCGACAGGGGGTGGGTACTCCCCCTGTTAGTTTGGTCCCCATCTTGCTCCCTGGTGTTCCCTGCTGAAATGGGGACTCCAGCCATGCCTTGCCCTCGCCCCTGCAGTCTGAGATGCAGTGTGCCACAAGCCACTTGAGTAAATCCTGGATCAGCCTATGTGAAGACATGCAATTATGCTGTTATTCCAATATTTTTACCTTGCACAGATATGTGTCTGTACTTTCAAATAACATTGCTCAGAGGCAGCAGGCTTAGGGCTTTGTTACACCTTATGCTGTGAGCTGCACAAATGTTGATGTGTGTGAAGGCTAGTTTGAGTTTGGACAGTTGCATTTTAGGCCAGCAGAGGCCTGGAGGACTGAAAGGTAAGAATCCCCACCGCAACTCCAATTCTGGGCTTCCTCCTGCTCCTCTGGTTCTCTCTGCCCCCAGGGCTCCTTTTCTCGCCTCCAGCCTCTTGGGGTTCCCCCCTTCCACCACTTACTTTTAGGTTCCTATGCATCTATCCCAGGGGAAGGGTTAATGTGCCTGCCTGGCTGCCACTGCTGGGCTGCTGCTCTTCTCTGAGCTGAGCCTGCCCAGAGAGCAGCAGCAGTGGCTGGGTAGGCAGGTTAATCCTTCCCTGCCTGCTCCCCTAGGACAGACAGTGTGGGCAGCCACAAGTAAGCAGGGGTGGGGGCCAGTGAATGGAGGTCTGAGGTGCTGGGGAAATTGGAGGGGAGGAATTGGGCCAGTGCAGGAGCAGGGCAGGTAGGGTGTTTACACTAAGGTGTAGCCTAAAGTGACTACCGCTTAGTATAACAGGAGCTGGGTAACAGAGAGCACAAATAATCCTGCCCTGGAGCAGTGGAACTTTGAGTCAGTTAAGGAGTGCTTAAAACTAGTTTCAGGTATTAATGTGTAGACAATCCAGGGGTTAAGAGCTCCAGGAACTACCCAAAATTACCATGTAACAAGGCCCTTATGCAGTTGAGTTGTGTATTAAGCAAGCTGTCTTTTGTCTTCTGTATTCTATGATATAAAAAGGCTAGAAAAGTTCTGGGTATGACTAGCTCCCTTGGCATAGGGGAACTCTCAGCTTGTTCATAATCTGTATCATTCTTGCCTTCATTCAGCTGCAGCATGTGGTTAGGGTATATACTGCTGTCATTTTATCTGAGAAAAGAAAAAGCAAATTGCAAATGTGACAAATACAGAAAACAAAAGTTGGGAATATATCAGTTAATTTGGTACCCATGATCACATTCACAATGTGTTATTTGTGAGTACCATGCACTTGTACACAGGTTGTGGTAATTCAGTACTTGCTGTAATTAGTATATCCAGTCATGAACGGGGGATAAGGTACATTGTTTTTCTATAACATGGCTTCCATAACTAAATGGAGTTGCTGTCTGCAAACCTGCCCTCAGCAGACCTGCAAATTTTGAAATCTTAATAAAAAGAGTCCCAAAGCCTTATTCCACAAAGGGCATGGCCTGCAAGCTTTGAGAACTGAATGTGCCTTCCTTACATAGTAACACAGACATCACCTCTTAGCATAGTGTGTCAGAATTGCTGGAAGAGTTTGTCTCCTGAGTGGTTATACTATGCAGCTGCCTGGCCTCAACACAAAGATTAGTCCAGGTGCAATCACTAGATCTTTCTCACCTCTTAAGGTTGAAGCAAACATTTAGTTTTCTTTTATTTTCCCTATTCCTTTCTAGATTTTCATGTGAGAAATCTGCTGCATGCTGCTACGTGATGTGAAAGCTTGAAGATGGGGTGTCAAATGGGATTCCCGGTACTAAAATACAGAATTCCCATATGACAAGCCATGTCAAACCTAGCCCATCCCATAGTAAGAACATCCAACACATCATGTGTGTGGGATTTCTAAACTCCTTTGGCTCAAGTCAGTGGAAGCTCACTCTTAAAGACAGTCATCCCTAATACCCCACCTCTGGAGAGTGTACTTAGTATCTCATTGCATGCACTGGACTTATATTTGCAACTAAACAGTTTAAGTGTTTTCATTAGCTCTTTGAAATCTACAAAAGCCTGTTAAAAAGTGATACATTTTTGGTGTATGTTTCAGACCTATTGTTTTACCTGCATTAATTATTCACCGGGCCTTTGGTATAATTAAAATGCATAAATTAGAACGTGGATGCAATAGCATTAATTATGCAGAGATTTCTTCCCTAGAAGTCAAGCATTGGGGGCAACATATTTTTATTCTAAATTGGTAAAAATGCAGGTTTCTGACTCTCTGGCAACCAGCCAAAGCATAATTGTTTTTTCTGGTTATGAACTGTCAATTAAATGTTTGCAGCTTACTCCATCATTGCTTGTATTGAAGGAGCAGGCTAATTGTTCAGGGTGAGTGCACTGCATTATTCTCTGTGAAGCAAAACTGAAACTGCTGTTTGTGAGCATTTCTACACAGCCAACTTTATCTTTCTCAGCAGAAAGTAATACAGTTCGCTTAGCATAAAGATGTTTTAAAATAGCAACAAGGCATCTCCCAGGTGCATCCTAAGATAATCACAGCTACCTCCATTGCCTTATTGCTTAATTATGCTTGTCTGCCATGGAAAAAGATATAATTTCCTGCTTGCTTATCGATCAGATGCAGGGAAATTGAATGCTACACCATATACTTTAGAGAGGTCATGGATTTCTCTTTTCCCACACAGGTGTTAAAACTTCCAGCCCAACAATAAACTGTGGATAGTCAAATGAATTTATACATTCGAACTATTTATCCTATCTCCCCTGTTCTACAAAGACCAATGTTCATATTTTGGTCCACATAAAAGAGGCCATGCATAATCCTATCTGACAATGTGTTTCACCATAAAAAAGTTTGATTCCCTTTCAGATTTCTCTTCGTTTCACTCAAGAGAGTAAGAAAGAAAATCTATATCTTTCTGTATGTGTCACAACTCTGTAAACATTCTGGATCATATGGTACATTGTGGGGAGATATATACTAGATGAAAAACTCACAGTCACACATTTATGCTTTATGATATGGTGCTTGAAGCACAGATTCTAGGGAAGTACCGACAGATTGAAGTGATAACACTCTTTGTGGGTAGAAACTCCAAGAAACAATGGGTTAACTACTTTACTGAATAACATTAACGTGCATAATATACTATAAAGACTACATAAATGTGGAAAATATACCCGACTGATTTTCTCTAGAAACCTGCAAAGCTGTTCGATATTTAAAGATAGTAATTACATTCACATCAATTTAGCCCACAGATGCATATAACTGTAATAAATGTTGATATATTGTATTCATTTAAAATAAATGCATCCATTGTGCATTAGACTGGAAGTGCTTTCACTTAGCAGTTACTTTTGCTGTTGCTCCTTATTGTGAAAATGCAATTAATGGTATCTGACGTTTCATTTTCTAATATAAGGAAAAATCAATGAAAAATGCTGTATAACTGAGTTTTCTAGAATGTTGCCGGTGACACCTAGTCAATTAGAAATCATTTATTAAATATAGAATTTGTAAGAGATATTTAATAGACTGCATGGCCATTAAAGTATGCTGACTTAGGAAAAAAAACAATACTATTCAGCTGCCTTCAGAAACTGTTTGCAAATATATCTGCCCTGTTCAAGAGCACTAAGGTGAAAAGCAGGTCATCTTAGATAGTGATACTTGGAGATGCAGTTTTGTATGAATTTTGGTATTGCTATATGTGCTGGTGAAATAAATTAATATTAGCAAATAAAGAAAGAGAATAAACATCACATTACTTGGCCTTCTCACTGATCTATATATGTCTTAACTTAAATGAAGAAATGATGACAAACAAGACAAATGTTGTTCAAGTACAGAGTTGAATAATGAGGGACTGATTCTTTTTGTGGGAGATAACTGTGTCTGGTTAGCAGACTTCCTATAGCTTACTTATGTAATGTTAGGCAAAAAATATGAAATTGGAGATGAGTATTAATTTAGAGAAGCACTAGAGTTCCTAAGAAACTCAGTTTTTTCATGCCAATAGCCATGTCTACAAAGACACTGACTGAGCAGTGGCAAAAACTGTGGTGCAACACTACTATGCAGTAGTATTAGACTACTGCACAGTAGTGTACAAAAAGGATGTTCGCTGGTGCTACTGTGTAGTAACTAGGGATACTGTGCATTTTAGTACTTTTTTATACAAGTGCTAAGTATATGCACAGTAATGACTGTGCAGTAGTGGCCACTGTGAAGCAAGGCTGAGCTGTTACAGAAAGATTGTACCTGCATATCCTGTATACCCTTCTTGTACCCCATTTTACACCTGTGAAATCATCTCACTTCTCCCTGCAATAAGATCTCCACAATTGCATTAGTTTCAGTTTTATATTAGCTATGGACATTATTATTCATATTTGCCTACATGTGTTGTGAAGCTTGTAGGTGGATGCTACTGAACACAGCAAATGATGCTGCTGATGATTGATTTTTATAAGATTTTTGTAAAGTCCTAGTCTGGCTGTTCTGATACAGCTCTATAGAGCTGAGGTCTGAGCAAGCACATGGATTTAGGCAGAAAGTACAAAACTGTAATTTTGAACAAGATACTTCGGTGGCATCTATCTTATGTTCACACCTTCATTGCATACAGTGACAGCTGCAACACAGTGTGTTTCCTCTTCACTTTCTATGGAACTACTACAATGCTCCAGGCAGATGAGTAGCTGGGCCTAAGTGGAAGAATATGAGAATAATCAAAAGTACTTTTGATTAGATGATGAAGGACAGGGCATATATGAACTGGAAGATGCAGAAAATGACCCAGGCTGTGTTTAATTGTGTCCAACACTGGGTCTTTTATCTGCCTATTCACACTTTCCAATGGATAAGACTCTTATTTATTGAGTTATTAGCTTACCTAGGGAGGCTGCGTAGTGGGCAATGAGCAAGCAACATATTTTAAAATTATTTTAGTTTTTGCCTCTTAAGAACTTTGGAAAGTTGGTCAGGAACTATGTGTATGTTGAGACTCCATTTCCACCTTTATTTTCTACTATGCAACTCTGAGTCAACCTAGGAATATACCTAAAGCATCCCATGCAGTTCTGAAAATAGATGGTGCAGATCTCTCTGAGGCCATGCCTAGTTGCCTACAGTCTTGGCCATTTGCATTCACTGATTTGTAACATTCTAAGTCACCCAATTTGAAAAGTAACTATTCCCATCTTTCTGTACCCAGCATCTTTCAAAAGAATCTCTAATTGCATATTTCCAGCCACAGCCACTTACCACTAAGATGTGTGTTTTTAGCAGGTCTCACCTGTCTTTCAAAGTAGAAACTTACTAGAATTTTTGGGTTGGCTCTTTCAGAGAACTGTTTTCTTAAAAAATAATGAACATTCCTAATTTTAAGTCCATTTCTGATTTAAAAAAAAATGATAATCATGAGTTGATTCAATTTGGCTTCAAAGGATTTAGGCACAAGGGCTGATGGCTAAGGTTATTTTAAAAGAAGAAAAAAACCCAAGAACTTCAAAATAACTAGTTTAGTGAAGTGTGCTAAAATAAAGAGATTATGGAACGCCTTTAAATTCTAGATACTAAATATCAATTTGAATCCCAAGTAAGGGCACAAACACATGTAGAGAAGGGCTCCAATGCTGAACTGGATTAATAGTTAAAATGATAGGAAAGCAGGGAGACTCCAAGGAATAGAAGAGAGAGACAGGGAAGAAAGCTATGCCTTAGAGATTAGAAAATATAGGAAATAAAGTCCTTTGGACTACCAAAAGTCCACCTGAGCAAGACCTTTTACTAAAAATTAAAACAAATAATATTGGACATTTTAGCTCTTTACATAAAAGAGGAGGTGTGCTATGCAGTGAGGATGGGATTGAGATTAAAGGTAGTCTAGGTATGGCTCAAAAAAATAAATGAATATTTTTGCTTCGATTTCAATTCACATCAGAAGGCATGATGGGCTGTAGCCCAGAATACTGAAAGTGCTTGGATATGATTTTTTTCTCCAGTTGCATAATACCATTCTTTAGTATTTGACAGATTTATTAAAAATCCAGACTACTAGGCTTGCAAACATAGTCCTTATATTTAACAAAGGGAAAAACAGTTTTCTGGTGAACTGCAAACCCATTATTCTGGCTTCCATATTATGCATGGATTTAGAATAAACTTTAGGGAAACTAATACTTACAGACATGGAGATAACTGGAAGAGGTAAATCAAGCCAGACTAAACTGATATCTTTCTTTGATAAGAGTACTAATTTTTAGATAGTGGAAATGCAATAGATTTAAAGTTTCTGGTTATCCATAAATCTTTTGATACAGTACCACATGGGTAATTATTAGATAAAATGGAGATTATGGGGATTAGTATAAAAACTGCAAGGTGCGTAAGGGACTGTTTAAATGGGAGACAAAAATAGTTTGTCCTGAAAGAATTACTGGGTGCGAAAGAGTTACAAGTGGAAGTCCTTTAGGATCAGAGTTGGGACTGATGTTATTTAATATTATAATTAATGACCTCAGTATAAAAGATAAACGTGTTGAGCAACTGCGGCATTGATACCTACACAGTCAAATGGGTGGCAAATTGGCTTGATGGTCACACCCAGAGTGTGGTGGTGTATGGGTCATTTTCGACCTGGAGGGATGTGGGCAGTGGAGTTCCCCAGGGCTCGGTCCTCCGGCCTGTGCTATTCAACATTTTTATCAGTGACTTGGAGGTGGGTGTGGAAAGCATGCTGTCCAAATTTGCTGATGACAGAAAGATATGGGGAGAAGTGGGCACACCAGAGAGGAGGGACAGAATACAACTAGATCTAGACAAGTTACAGAGGCGGGCGGATGAGAACAGAATGGAATTCAACGCAGACAAGTGCAAGGTACTGCATCTAGGGAGAAGGAACCTGCAGCATACCTATAGGCTGGGGAACACCCTTCTCAGCAACACAGTGGCTGAAAGGGATCTTGGAGTCATTGTTGATTCCAGGATGGACATGAGCCGCCAATGCAAGGAAGCGGTCAGTAAGGCTAACCGCACATTGTCATGTATATCCAGATGTATCACAAGCAGGTCCAGGGAGGTGATCCTTCCCCTCTATGTGGTGCTGATCAGGCCGCAGTTGGAGTACTGCATCCAGTTCTGGGTGCCGCACTTCAGGAGGGATGTGGCTAACCTTGAGAAGGTCCAGAGGAGGAGGACTTGCATGGTTGGGGGCAGCAGGCCAGGGCCAGGGCCTAAAGGGCCTAAATCTATTCAGCCTCCATAAGAGAAGACTGAGAGGGGATCTAGTGGCCATCTATAAACTCACCAGGAGTAACCAGCGGAAAAATAGGTGAGGCTCTGTTCCCCTGGGCACTACCTGGGGTAACAAAGAATAATGGCTACAAATTGATTGAGAGCAGGTTCAGGCTTGATATCAGGAGGCATTACTTTATGGTTAGGGCTGCCAGGCTCTGGAATGGGCTCCCAAGGGAGGTAGTGCTCTCTCCTACCTTGGGGGGCTTCAAGAGAAGATTGGATAGATATCTGGCAGGGGGATTCTGATCCAAGTACTCATTCCTGCCCAGGGCAGGGGATCAGACTTGATGATCTGTTCAGGTCCTTTCCAACCCTAGAAACTATGAAACTATACAGTATTGGGGGGAATTGTCAGTATGGAGGAAGAGCATGTTATACAGGAAGAGCTAGATGGCTGAAGACTAGAGAAATAGAAATGGAATAGTACAAAAGTACAAGAGCAAGCACACAGGGGCTAGTAAGAATTTATTCTATAAAACTGTCAACTGGAAATGACAAAAGAAAGACCATGTGTGTTTTAGCACATTGTTTGATCAGTAGTTGATCACAGAATAACTATAAAGCATCAATGTGATGTAGCTATGGAAAAGGCAAATGGAATTTTAAGAATATTTCCTAATACATTAGGAATGAGACAGTACTCATGCCGGTGTACTGGTTAGTCCTCAACCCTGCAAGCTTCATGTAGTCATTGAGGAGGTAATATGTGGCTCCCAGGCCTCTGGTTGCTCTCCACATGGTCCAGCAGCTGTCACTTCTGCCACCAGAGCCTCCCAGCTTCCTTTCCCTCCTACAGCTTCTTGTTCCTAAGCCTGATTCTGGGGAATGGGGCAGTGTGGCCTGTAGATAAGAGGGACTCTACAGCAAAGGGACTCAGGGGAACCTGGGGACAGTGTGCAGTATGGGGGTGCTGGCATGGTGTGGTGTGGTGGGGAATGCAGCGTGTTGGGAGAGGCCATATGGCACAGTTTCAGGCATGAGAGCACTGGCACAGTGCAGGGTGTGGGTACCTGCCATCACAGAATCATACAAAGTTAGGGTTGGAAATGGCCTCAGAACATCATCTAGTCCAACTCCCTGCTCAAAGCAGGACCATCCCCAACTAGATCATCTCAGCCAAAGCTTTGCCTAGTCAGATTTTGAAAACCTCCAAGAACGGAGCTTCTAACACCTCTCTGGGTAATCTGCTCCAGTGTTTTACTACCTTCCTGGTGAGAAAATTCTTCCTAATATCTAACCTAAACTTCCCTTGCTGCAACTTGAGACCATTGCTCCTTGTTCTGTCATCTGCCACCACTGAGAACAGTCTAGCTCCATCCTCTTTTGAACCCCCCTTCAGGTAGTTGGAGGCTGCTATTAAATCCCCTTTCAGTCTTCTCTTCTCTAGACTAAATAAGCCCAGTTCCCTCAATCTTTCGTCATAAATCATGTCCCCCCCCCAGCCCCCTCACCAGTTTTTTTGCTCTCTACTGGACTCTCTTCAATTTGTCCACATCCTTTCTGTAGTGGAGTGCACAAAACTGAACACAATACTCCAGATGTGGCCTCACCAGTGCTGAATAGAGGGGAATAATCGCTTTCCTTGACCTACTGGCAACACACCTACCAATGCAGCCCAGTATGTCATTAGCCTTCTTGGCAACAAGGTCACACTGCTGGCTTATATTCAGCTTATTGTCTACTGTAACCCCCAGGTCCTTTTCTATAGAGCTGCTGTCCAGCCAGTCAGCCCCCAGCCAGTACTGGTGCATGGGATTGTTCTGTCCTAAGTGCAGGACTTTGCACTTGTCCTAACTGAACCTCATGAGATTTCTTTGGCCCAATCCTCCAATTTGTCTAAGTCACTCTGAATACTAACCCTACCCTCCAGCACATCTACTATTGTCCCCAGCTTGGTGTCATCTGCAAACTTGCTGAGGGTGCACTCTATGCCATCTTTAAGGTTGTTGATGAGCACATTGAACAAAACCAGCCCCAGGAACAACCCCTGGGGC